CACGGGACCAGTTAACGTGGCGTGATTGTTAGTAAATATTTATTATATTATATTATTATTATTATTATTATTATACTTCTCTTGTTTATTTATGTTTTCGTGACGATGGACGAATCGTAGATATTTAATTCGTGGGAATGCTAAAAGAATTTTCTTTTGAGAAAAATAAATCAGAAATTATAATTTCGAGATACAGTAAACAAGCCACGTCTTCTTTTGAAGTAAAACATTGTTTTTACATTTAGAAATGTTGTTACAGTATTATTTTGTACCGTTTTCTTCGGTACCTTATTGTATCATATTAAAAATGACCCAAGATTAATTATTGTAGATAGGACATGAACATCGCCCATTCTTTTATATCATTTATTAATGTTATTATAATGTTCTCGTTCTAAACTTTTTAAAATCCTATCGCGCATGACTCTCAAGATTTTTTTTTAAATTATTTAATTGCTTATATGGTTGCAATGAGTTGCTCGCTCCAGGCATTTCAATATTGTAGTAATTGTTACGTTATAATACTCAGTGTAAAAAATTCGTATTTAAAAAAAATAATATTAAAAATAAATAAATAATAATTTTTTAGTAAAAAAAAAGACATGCCCGCTGAGTTTCTTGCCAATTCTTCTCAGGACGGAGGCTAGTTCTTGTGAATTGGCGGTAGTTCTTTTGACGTTCAACAAGTATGTACTTTCATTTATGTTGAATAAAATTTTTTTGATTTGATTTTATATGGGTGGACGATCTCACAGCCCACCACAGCGTTATTCCCAATGTAATTGTCAACCGATTTATTACGATCGCATTTTATCATACTAAGAACAACACTTAATTTTAATAAAACTTTATTTAGATGACCTCATTATTTATCGAGAAAAGAAATAAAACACATTTTCCATAATTGTCATAAAGTTTATATAATACCAAGGCGTTACATACATCGTACAACGGCTGTGCAAACAAGACATTTGTCGAATATGTAATTTTTAATTAATAAATGATACACTCTTTCAAGGCTTTGGTTATTTGGATTTAATCTTTTTTTTTTATTATTGCCTTTCTAGGCAGACGAGCGTACGGCCCACCTGATGGTGAGTGGTTACCGTCGCCCATGGACTTCAGCAATGCCAAGGGCAGAGCCAAGCCGCTGCCTACCGCTAAATCGTGCTAAGCAGTGCCATTTGATTGGTTATTTACAACAATCAGAACAATCAGTGTATTTCTTATGTTGCTGCTTCCTGTATAGAGGATTTTGCATCACAACGATCTCTCTCTTTGACTGTTTAAAAACTAAGCGATTTTTTTTTAATTTTTTTTATTGCTTAGATGGTTGGACGAGCTCAAACCCACCTGCTGTTAAGTGGTTACTGGAGCCCATAGACATCTACAACGTAAATGCGCTACCCACTTTGAGATATAAATTTTAGAAATTATATCTCAAAGTGGGTGGCGCGGCTGATGGCGGGCCCCACCCTTCAAACCGAAACGCATTACTGCTTCACGGCAGAAACAGGCAGGGTGGTGCCTACCCGCGCGGACTCACAAGAGGTACTTTTTTTTTTTATTGCTTAGATGGGTGGACGAGCTCACAGCCCACCTAGTGTTAAGTGGTTACTGGGGCCCATAGACATCCACAACGTAAATGCGCCACCCACCTTGAAACCACTAAGAGTCACTAAGGTCCTACAACCAGTAAGAGCTTTGCCAAGACCTCATCAGCCCAATTGAGCCGAAATTAAAAATGATAATTACGTTTATATAACTAAGGAGCAGAAGGGAAGTCTAAAACTTAAATTGTCACCAAAATTGCCGAACAATAGTTTTTTAAATGCGCCTTCTGAATATTTATCGCACCGTGTTGATGATGTCATTGTGTTTAGTCATGTATGTTTAGATGAAGAAGCTGATTCGATACACTAATGAGGTCATCAAACTTAAATAGGCAGTTTAATGGCGTATAGAATTAATCTATTGAGTGATTACATTCGTTTACTGGGTAATCTTTTGTTTAGAACTGTATTGTTTTGTTTTAATAAATACTAGCTGACCCGGCAAACTTCGTAGTGCCTCAATCGATAAATAAAAGACCTAAACTTTTGTATAAAATAAACTTAAAACCAAACAAAAGGAATCCGTCCGACGGGGGACACATCAAAGGAAAAACAAAATTGTTATTTTTATTTAATTCCGAGGATTTTCATATTTATCTACCTTTTATACCTTCTCTGGACTTCAGCAAATAATTCAAGACCAAAGTTAGTCACTCGGTCCAGCCGTTCTCGAGTTTTAGCGAAACTAACGAACAGAATTCATTTTTATATATATAGAATAGATAGAAGATAGATAGATAAGATGAGATAAGATTGTGCTCTAGGTTCATCAGATTGCAGTCAGTTACCGAAGCCAAACCAGAACACGACACATCTCTTTGTATTGCTCATGTAGGCAGACGATCATACGGCCCACCTGATGGTGAGTGGTTACCGTCACTCACTGACGTTACCAATGCCAGGAAAACATCCAAACCGCTGCCTACCGTTGAATTCTCTCCGTAAGGCTCATTAGACTACCATCACGAATTAAATTACTATTAGATTTAGGAAAATTGATTTTAGTTAAATTGAATTAGTTTGGCTTGAAGGGTGGAGCAGCCGTTGTAACTATACTTAGATCTTACATCTCAAGGTGGGTGGCGCATTTACGTTCGAAATGTCTATGCAGTAACCACTTAACATCAGGTGGGCTATGAGCTCGTCCACCCATTTAAGCAATAAAAAAAGCTTATACATATATGTATACTCGTATATACAGATAAGCTGACCTGAAATAAACGAACATGAGTGATACATTGCACGACGATTACGAAATATTTGACTTTATATAGAAGGTGTCATATTTCCGAGTATCCATTTCAAATATTTGCAATTCGCGATCTTTGCAAGCAGTTATTCGATATCATCGCTCTACAAGTTTTAGCTATGACATTATATGTTTGCATTCGATTATCGTGTGTTTGCTTGTATTATTATTACCATACTAGCGACCCGCCCTCGCTTCGCTTCGGAAACATTAAAATACACATGAAACCAAAAAAAAAAAAAATTAAAAAAAGTAGCCTATGTTCATCAGGGACAATGTCGGCTTCTAATGGAAAAATAATTTTTCAAATCGGTCCAGTAGTTTCGGAGCCTATTCGAAACAAACAAACAAACAAATCTTTCCTCTTTATAATATTAAGTAAGTATAAGTATAGATGCTTTTAATAAAGGTTTTCTGTAGTTGTGTTTGTTCTTCTTTTTTTACTAGATGATGACCGAGCTTTGCACGTTTTTTTTTTTTTCATAACACCATCTTGTTGTTTCTTTAAAGCGGTTATTATTATTCGCCAATAGATGTCGGGAAGAGTCATAAAGTTGATTATTGAGAACACGAATAAAACAATATTTTCTGAAAATAAATCGTAGCTAGATCGATTTATCGCCCCCGAAATCGCCTGTATAATAAATTTTATGAAAATCGTTGGAGCCGTTTCCGAGATTCAGATTATATATATTATATACAAGAATTGCTCGTTTAAAGGTATAAGATTACGTACATGAGTGAATGAGCTCACGCTTAATCCTGTGTAAAGCGGTCACCGGAGCCCGTGGTCATCACAACGCGAATTCCGCCACCACTTTTGAGACATGAAGGGGTGAATAGCTATTTTGTTTAAGCGACAATTACCTTTGTAATTAAAGGAGCGTTTTATTTAGTATTAGCATCAACACAGTTCGTTGTTTTTTATTGCGCTTCCATTAAGTTTACTTCATTCTAATAGTTGTAGAAGTGTTTTTGTTATGATATTTTCTCCAAATTTTAAACTTGAAATGGCTCTCCTGTAAATTTGCAAAAATGTTGCTTAAACCAAATAGCCTTCATCCTTCGACATTAAATCACGATTGTAACCAACGACTATCCCGATCTTCAAATTGTTTGAGACGCTACAAAAATACGAACGATTATTATACCTACTCTGGACGATCCAAATCAACGTATTCCTTATTTAAAAAATAATAGGTATTTTAAGAATAATTTAGCATTAGTATCTTACTGATACTCCCTAGTCTTGCGTCTCTGTGGATTAAAGCACGTGATACCAATTTGCGATATTTTTTAAAGTTTAGTCAATTCAAATAATCTTTACCCACGAGCGGAGAGTATTTTAGGATTAAGTCGACTTAATTTATTGCCAATTAATTAAAAAAAATATGAAAATACTAAGGGTTTAAATAAATCATCACAAGTTGACAACGATCTTTATTCGGTAATAAAAGTAGAATTTCATATACAAATTACATTCATATGAATTTTGATATCACAACAATGATCACGGCAATGATAAGAAATGTCGATCAGAACCCAAAAGTTTCGAAAATAATGCTATCTAAAGATGCAAATTTAATAGAACTAATTTAAATTCCATCTACATGCAAAATCTGTTCTTTTTTTTTGAACACGCCCAAAAAGTTTCAATTAGGTACGCGGAGTCCGCTAGTTATTACACAGCAGTAATATTATATATTTTTTAATTTCATTAACCTAATGAATTGAATAGCTAGCAAAATCTGCTCACACATCGACTCCCTCACGCACACGGCTGTCTCTGGATATTGCGTCTGTGTGCATTGTGCATGAGCTAAAAGTCGTCAAGCCGGTCCTCAAGCAACACCCACTCGTGTCTCGTGTTCCTTTGTAACCAACGCGCAGTCTTTACAACTATAGAAAATCAAGATGAAATGTCGCACTAAATCGTATCAAAATTTCGACGCTAATATTAAATAAGAACAGGCTCTATTTGAGGTCAAATGACTCACTTTCTGCACCTTACATAAATATGACCCACAAATCATTACTATATGACACGATACCGGTGTAGGTACACTTGATTACTATGCTGATAACAATATAAATATTGTAGTATGTATAAAAAAATATTCAAAAACTTATGTACATACCTTCGTTGTTGTTTCCCTCGGCGCCGTACACCGCCGTCAGGAAAACTCCGACGCACAAAACGCTCAAGAACCTCACAATCATTTTAAATGATTATTATCCAGCACTGAGTTCACAGTTTACTCGAAAAATAAAAATTTAAACACACGACATAATCAAATCAAAGACACCCGCGCTGCTCAGCAGCGATCGACCCTTCGCAAATGGCGGCTTATGACGGATGTGTTCATCGATTGCACTCAGGTTGGCTAGTTTACGAAGCTTGCTACGGAAAATCACAGCATATGGCAACACTTTCAACAAATCAATTTATTTATATTTCATGGTAGATTACGATTATAAACCTCACAAACATTAGAACATATTGAAGTAAATACATAAAATACAGTTAAAGATGTAGCTAACTTATTTTTTGATGTTTAGGTACGACTTACTTCCGAATTATGGGCAGGTAGATCGGTATAGATGCCATGCTCCGTAATTTTTGCTGCTTCACATAGTCCACGAATACAATCTTCAATACGTTTTAGGCTATCTAGAACAGCATATATCAAAATGTTTACTTTTTTACTAAAAAAGTTTTTACTTCGGTACGGTAGATACTAAAGTGGCAAAAATTTATGGATATCAAACTTAAGATGGCACCGAAGCTTCTGTCTACTACTAAAAACTCTTTATTAACTCTTTTTATAGGCAAGTATGCTAAAATGGTATGTGGAATGAAAATGCCTGGAAGGAGAAATGCCTTCACGAAAGGTATTGTCTATGAAGACTAAATAGTTTCATAGATATAGGAGTAGACATGGACAGGTTAGAACCAAGCTACGGAGGCAGGTGGCCGGATGTTCATAATTAAAAGACAGTAAAGTCTCGAACGAACAAATGAATTCTTCAGGACATCAAAGCCAAGTTCCCTGCAAGCACCCAGAGGTTTTAAAATACAGGAATTCGGTTTTCGGTTCGATTTTTTTTTGGGGCGTTGTTCTTTGGAAGCCCATGTTTAGGCCCAGCCCTTATGTTTGGGATTTGTACCGAATCAGCAACTAAGCAGCATGCTTATTCGTGCAGAAAATTCTAGATGCGCCAACCTATTACGACAACTTAAGTTACAGAATGGAGCATTAACAAAACTTTTACCGGCATCCTGTATTTTTTTATGTAAAGACGCTATTGATTTTTTAGAAAAGATTCTACATCAATTCTTCGCACTCATCGAATGAAACAGCATCCCAATAACTTACACGACCGGACGATATATTGGTGACTGTATTAATGTAATTAAATTGTAACTATTGAAGGTGTATTTAAACCGTATTCGAAAATAAACGCAAGTGATAGAGATGTTGATTCTACACACAAAAAAATTGATTCGGAAATTATATGTTATAAACGTTGTCACATTACACTCAACTTAAAACATATTTAAAGATAAACTGATTTGGGGAGTCTACTGTTTTGAACAAAAGGTACAACACCACCACAAATTACGCATGGCTACAAGATGAGAATTGTTTTCCACTTGTATTTATTTCCGTTTCAGCTTTGACAATTTTTTTATACCCTTTTTTTTTTGTTTTTTTTTTGTTTTTTTTTTTGTTTTTTTTTCGGGTAGAGGGCCGAACCTCCTACGAGGTCCCCGCGCAAAAGGGGCGCGCGAGGTATGTGAGACTCAACGATCTGCATGGTGTTGTGAGCAGACCGCGGGCCCAAGGATTTTAGGACCCACCCACTAAACGACTCCCCTGCACTCTTACACCCGACGTCCGATCCCCTCCGAGGTCAGAACCCGGATGAGGTAGGGGGGCTACCGCGGTCAACACTACAACCAGACGGCGCGGCTCACCCCAAGGACGCCCAGCCGACGGTGCCTTCGAGGCGAATCGAAGGCTCTGAAACGTCGGCCGTCTCGGTACGGCAGCCCGTCGGGCCGCCCAGACGGTGCCGCTGGTGTCCCGCAATACCCCGCTGGACCAGAACCAGCCTGCCGGGTCGGGACGCGATACACCGTCGACCGGTCGCTCTATTCACTCCACGGCAGCGCGCTAGAGTGCTGGTAGCGCGCCGCGCGGCCTCACCCCCTCAGGTCGCCCCTTGACCTTCATTTTTTTTTCAATTTTTTATACCCTGCCTGTGTCACTTGTGTGCCACCAAACAAATTTATCTTAATGTGCTGGGTGGTCATTAATTTATCATTTTATTAACGTTAGGAGTTAAAAAGATACAATTACGAACTGTGCCAGTAGAGTCATAATATTTTTTTCAAATGATTTATGTTTCAAATGTTAAGCAACCGCGTAATACGAAAGGTGAATCAAAATATAGGTTTTAAGCATAAGCTATCTTCGTAAACATATTTTGATATTAAATTTTAGTGCGCACTGACATTTTTTACAATGACAACACAGGAGTTTCGAAAGTTCAATTTTGCATGGCGGACGTGCAATTGGATTGTGTTATTTGTTGGTGATCATTTTAATAATTTATCTCTTGTAGATTCCTTATGGAAAGACTACTTTTAATAATTTTATTCCTTTGTGGTCGTGCTTTATTCATACCTTAACGATAGATGATGCTAAAGTGTTATTTATAGTTGCATTTTGTGAGAACTGCATAGTGTATCTCGAAAATGGGAAAATGTGACGAAGCTAATGTCGAAGTTAGCATGGGGGACTCAGCGTCCCCCATGAAACCTGATAACTTTACGTTTACTCCACCTCCAGAGGCTCCTGTCTTTGAGCCTACACCAGAAGAGTTTTTGGACCCTTTAGCGTACATCAGTAAAATACGTCCTATCGCCGAGAAATCGGGCATTTGCAAGATAAAACCACCAGCGGTGAGTGAATTCCTTTGTCCTTACTCTTTTTGTTCTCATAATTTTCATTTTATTCTTTAATTACGGTAGATTTACATCGAAATAGTAATCTAACAATTTGGTACAAATTATCGTGTGATGCAACCATATTACCATGGCTTGCACGGTTTCGCGTTATCTTAATTCCCTATTTACTGTTATATTCTTAATAATACGTGTCAATTCGTCACCTGAGAGGCAAATATACGATTAATATGTTATTTATTTGGTAGGAAATGCAATTGCATATTGTATAGAATTAGCTGGTTGCCATTTTGTCTTGTCCCCCTGCCTACGTTATTTTAGATAAAAAGAAAAAAAATAAGTATTTAGTTGAAAACTACAGTTAGATTAAGCGAGAGTGTAGAAAGCACAGTGATTTCATGAAATACAATTTTTGGACCATTTAAAACTAAATTGTTTTAAAACACAAATGTCACATGAAAAGTCTTTGGTTATTAATTTGTGAGGCCAAAAAAACTATTATATTACTAATGAAGTTATAGTCATAATAATTCCCTTTTATAACAATGAACTGAGTGCCACATGTTCAATTATAATCTGTAATGATTAACTAAAAAGTAATTTGAAGTTTATCCTTATTCTATACAATTTTAAGTAAAATAGTACATATTTTATAAATTTTTAGATTCAGTAAAAGTAGCCAATATTCCACATTGTACTTATTGACTTAAAAAAAGTAGTGCATAACATTTAAGTGTTGTAGAAAACATGTCAGACATTGGAATCTCAAATTGTTCAATACCGTCTATGTAGATCAATAGGAATATAGATAAGAGCTGTGGCAGTAATTACAAGGTGATATGCTCATGCCCATCAGAGTGTAAGCAGGCTTCAATTTGAATGCCACAGTGCACTTAGAAGCTCGAGGTTAAAGTCAATTGCATTACAAGAGTAATTACTTAATGGATGTGGCTAAACTTAAGTGACCACTGGAGCTAGCTCAATTCCTAACAATTTTTCATCAAAAATCATGTGCAAAAAGTCACATTTATTTATTGTCAGAAATTTAGAGTAATTCTGTCATTGAGGGCGTCTATTCTGAGAAGTAACGAACGCATTTGTTATGCCGGTTCATAAATCTAGTGAATATAATTTGATATCAATTTTAGTAACTATATGCTCATGTTTATTATTGACTAGCTGACACGGCAGACTTCGTAGTGCCTCAATCCATAAATAAAAAACCTAAACTTTGGTATAAAATAAACGTAGAACAAACAAAAGGAATCCGTCTGACGGGGGACACATCAAAGGGAAAACAAAATTGTTATTTTTATTTAATTCCGAGCATTTTCATATTTATCTCCCTTTTAAACCTTCTCTTGACTTCCACAAATAGTTTAAGACCAAAATTAGCCAAAGCGGTCCAGCCGTTCTTGAGTTTCAGCGAGACTAACGAACAGCAATTCATTTATATATATATAGATTATTATATAAGAATTAAAAACAAGGAATCTCAGGAGTTGATATATCATCTTTTCGCCATAAAAGTGTACAATTTTCAAAAAAATTCAAAAGTGAGTTAATATGTGTAATCATTTGGTATCACCAGTATTCTCATAAATACTGTCAAAAGAGTGTAGTTTAGTTTTAGGTTTTTTTTTTGTTTTGACTTCTATTAACAAAATTAATACTTAATTTAATCTTACTGTATAAAAAAAATAATGAACTGGTAAAAAATAAAAAATTAATGTTGCAAAGATGATTAATATTAAAAATATCACATGTTAAACCTTTAAAACACTCTCCTGTAAAATTAGTAAGTTTTGAGATTATACAGTTTTAATGCGAGAAGACAATATGTTGTTGAATATTTAAAAAATGGCATAACAGCGACGCTGTGTATGACATCTTTAACAAGGCATTCAACAAAGTATTTTATTGTCTTTTAATTAGAAAATTTGGTAAAGTTGTATAGATGGTAATCTCATCAAATGTGTTCAGTCTTAAAGTGGAGGCCTTGATCAATAGTCACTCATCTGCAACCTACTACAGCAGCTTTCCTACCTAGCTAAACTAACTTACTATCTATGCAACCACAGCTGTATCTCAAAGCTTTGATCCAATCCTATACAGTGATTTTATTAATGACGTATTGGGATTTTTCTAAAATCTTAAAACTTTTTTACTATTGAAAATTGTAAAATTATCTTACACACAACATACACCACGAACATCTTTATGGTCTCACATTGTACTATTCTAAATGACACAGAACTTCATACTTGCCTTCATACAAATACCTCCATACTTATCAAAACTGACATTCAACCATACACCTCTTTTCCATTGATTTGATCTTTCCAACTACTGGCAAAACCGAGTCTCACCTGTGAATAGAAAT